TGATTAGCTTTGTATGTCTATATGTGTTTTCATGAGAAACTACATTGAAGATATCAATATGTAATACAATAAGCATTGTTAATGCCCTACCACTCTGTTTGTAACTCTGTAATGTCTGTACTGATCCTATGCTATTTTGTAAAATGTTGTCGATCTGTTAGTATTTTCCTCCTTTTATTTCTAAAATAAAAAAAAAGAAATGGACAGATTCCTAGATACATGTGAATTATTGAAGTTACATCAAGAAGATATGAAAATTGTAAATAACCTAATGTCAGTCAGTGAAATAATTGAAAGTGTAATTACAAATTTACCAACAAAGACAAGCCCAAGTCCTGATGGATTCACTGCCAAATTCTAAAAGAAATTTAGAGAATATCTAATGCCATTACTCCTCAAACTCTTTAAGGAAATGGAAAGAGAGCCCATTTTACAAAAGTCATTCCTAGAACAAAGTATTACCCTTATACAAAAACCCAAGAAGGATCCAACCAAGAAAGAGAACTACAGGAAAATCTCCCTAATGAACATAGATGCAAAAAATCTCAGTAAGATACTTGTAAACAGAAGACAGCAAATCATCAAGAAGATTATTCACCACGACCAAGTAGGATTCATCCCAGGGATGCAGGAATGGTTCAATATACATAAATAAATAAATATGTTATACCATATCAATAGAACCAAAAACAAAAATCACATGATCATCTTAACATATGCAGAAAAGGAATTTGATGAAGTCCAACACTCACAGAAAATAGGAATAAATGGTCTTTATCTCAATCTGATCAAAGCCATCTATGACAAACCAAAGCCCACATGATACAAAATGGTCAAAAGTAGAAAGTTATCACTCTAAACTCAGGAACAAGACAAGGACATTGACTGTCACCACTCTTATTCAATATAGTCCTGAAACACTGGCCAGAGCAATTAGACAAGAGAAAGAAATAAAAGGAATAAAGATAGGAAAGAAAGAATTTAAATTATCATTAGTTGCAGGTGACATGATACTCTATCTACATAGAAGACCCCCAAAACTCCACCAAAAACTTCTAGACTTGATAACCATATTCAGTCATGTCATGGATAAAACATTAACTCTCAAAAATGAATAGCACTCCTGTACACAAGTAAAAAGCTCACTGAGACAGAAATTAGGAAAACAACACCTTTCACAACAGCATCAAAAAATGAAATACTTAGGAGTCACTCTAAAAAAAGAAGTAAATGATCTTTATGCTGAATACTACATTACTCTGAAAAAGGAGATCAAAGCAGATATCAGGAAATAGAAAGATATCCCTTTCTCTTGAGTTGGAAGAACATAGTGAAAATGGTCATAGTCCTCAAATTGTTATACATATTTAATGCAATCCTATTCAAAACACCATTACTGTACCTCACAGAACTAGAGAAAACACTCCTAAAATTCACTTGGAAACAGAAGAGACCTACAATGGTAAAAATAATTCTGGGCAACAAAGGCAAGACAGAGGACATCACAATCTCTGACTTGAAATTGAGAAAGCTACTGTGATTAAAATGGCATGGTACTGCAAAGAAACAGACCCAAGGATCGATGGAACAGATTAGAAGGTGCAGAAGAAACTCCAAACACACTCAGTCACCTTATCTTTGACCAAAGTACCAAACATGATCACAGGAAGAAAAATAGCATTAATGGTGTTGGAAAAACTGGATCTCCACATGCCAAAGTGTAAAACTAGATCAATATCCTTCTCACAATGCACTCAATTAAAAAATCAAAGTAGATCAAAAATCTAAATATTAAACAGAAACACTGAATCTGCTGGAAGATACAAAAGGTGGAACTCTTGAAGACATTCATGGAGGCAAAGACTTTATAAACTAAGCCATGATCACATGGGAAATATTACAAAAGATTAACAACTGGAACCTCATCTTACTGACAATGCTTCACACAGCAAAAAATAAAACCACCAACAGAGTGAAGAAACAACTAGAAGTGTGGGGAAGCATTTTTGCCAGTTGTTCCTCAAACAAAGCACTAATATCTAGAATGCACAAAGAACTGAAAAAAATCAGACCTTCCAAATTTAAAAACCCAAACCAAGAATGGGCTTCTGAGGTGAATACACACTTCTCAGATGAAGAAGTACAGACAGCAAATAAATATACAAAAAAAAGGTCAAAATCATTTGTCATTCAAAAAATGCATATTAAAACACTGAGATTTCATCTCAACCCAGAAATAATGGCTATTATGAAGAAATTAAGCAGTAATGAATACTGGTGGGGATTTAGATTTCCCCGCTGTTGGTGGGAGCATAGACCAGCGCAACCACTTCGGAAATCAGGTTGGAGAGTCCTCAAAAACTAGGGCTAGAGGTCCCATTTGACCCAGCTATCCCCCTTCCAGTTGCCATCCCAATGGAATTAAAAGCATCATAGCAAAGCAATATATGTCCACCCATGTTTATAGTAGCACACTTTATAAAAGTTAAACCTTAGAAACAGCTCAAATGCCCATCAACCAACAACTGATAATGAAGGTGTGGTTTTTATACAATGGAGTATTCCTCAGCCATGAGGGAAGATAAATTTGAGTCATTTCAAGCTAAATAGGTGTACCTTGAGACTATACTCTTAAGTGAAATAAATTGAACACACATGTGTAAATATTGCATGGTTTCTCTGGTGTGAGAAACTGAAAGTGTAAATAAGGTCCAAAAGATATAATACATATTGAGAAGCAGGAAGGAATTCTTCAAATGAAAAGGGGAAACAAGAGACGTGGGGTGGGAAAAGGAAGGAATGAAATGGAAAAAATTGATAAAAATGGATAAAACAGAAGCAAAGGTTTTATACAGAGGAGGGTAAGAGCAGATGAAAGGAGGTTAAGGGAATCAGTTGGGGAAGGAATCAAGATATATAATATACAGGTACAAATTCCCTATGATGAATGTGATCATTATGTGTATCTAAATTGTTGCCATAAACTTAATTTTTAAAATTATTAGTGAAAGAAGAGTTATTTATTGGAGGAAATCCCATGCAATAATCCAATATCACAGTGGAAAAAATATACACCTTTGCCTCAGACCCTTCATGTATTTTAGAAAAACATTTTTTACTTAAGAAGGTTTCTTTCTTACAAAATACATTTTATCTCTGAACTCATGCAGAGAATTTCTCTCTGGCCTTAACAAAAGGATGTAGCACTTAGGGGCAAAGATGCAGCCTAGCAGCCCCGCACTGGAGGCCAAGATGGAGAAGACCTCCAGGGCCACCATCACCTTCCCCGTGGTGCTGTGGTACACGGGGAGGAAGGTGACCCACACACTGCAGAACACCAGCATGCTGAACGTCAGGAACTTGGCTTCATTGAACGTGTCGGGCAGGTTCCTGGCCAGGAAAGCCACGGTGAAGCTCAGCAGGGCCAGGGAGCCCAGGTATCCCAGCACACAGTAGAAGGCAGTGAGGGAGCCCTTGTTGCACATGATAAGGATGTGGCCATGTTCAGAGTGAGCATCTGTGTCAATGTAGGGTGGATTTGTCCCCATCCAGACTCCACAGAGAGTGAGTTGGATCAGGGAGCAGATGGGGATGATGGAGTTAGGAGCCCCTGATACCAGCAACTGCCTCACCCTTCTGCCTGGAGCAGTGACCTTAAAGGCCAGCACCACAGTAATGGTTTTGGCCAAGACAGAGGAAACTGCCACAGTGAACACCACTCCAAATGTGGTCTGCTGCAGGATGCAGGTGGCTGTGCTGGGCCGGCCAATGAAGAGCAAGGAGCAGAGGAAGCAGCAGGTGAGGGAGATGAGCAGGGTGTAGCTGAGAGCCCGGTTGTTGGCCTTGACGATGGGAGTGTCTCGGTGCTTCACAAAGAGTCCAAGAACAGCAGCTGTAAGGACAGTGAGACTAAGGGCGGTGCCAGTCAGAGCTTTTCCCAAGGGGTCTTCATAAGCCAGAAAAGTCACAGCTTTTTGCAGGCAGTGGTTTCTCTGAGTGTTGGCGTACTGACGATCTGGGCACTTCACACACTGCTCCATGTCTAGTGAGGATTTTAAATGGTCATTAGTTCAAATTCCTTCTTTCTTACTTATTAACAGACACACCCCCAGAGCCTCACTGAACTTATAGAACAAAATTTTCCTCCTTTTTTTCCTTTCTTTTCCATTTGCTTTTTGCAGTGCTGGAGGTTTGATTGAGGACCCTTTCCCTGAGCTAAATTCCCAACAGTTTTGTATTTTCTTTTATTTTGAGACTGGATGTAACTAAATCACCATATTTCCTAGACTGGAATCAAACTTGAATTCTTTTGCAATCCTTCCAGAGTGCTACGATTATAGATCTTCACCACCACACACAGCTGGCTTTTCTTTTATTTTTACTGGCACCAAGTAAAAGAACGTTCTGTAGAAAACACCTCCCAATTAATACTGTCCATTCTTTATGGTATAATGAAGAATGCTATCATTTATCCTCTTTAATCTGGCATATCCAATTTCACAAAACATTAATAGACCTATTTATTTAAATAAAGCCACTGAACATGACGCCCTGGCTATTGATTCAATGAACTATCACTTATTGAGTAACCGACATATTTGCTAAGTTGCAGTAGAATACATGTATGAAAAATAGTAAATAATGTCAAGTACAGTAAATATGCCCAACTCACAAAACTTTGCAGTTTGCACCCAAAAAAAACAATTAGAATTTTTAAGACCATTGGTTTGAGTCAGCAAGTCAAACGCTAAGTACCAAAACCTTCCCACTATAGGGTCTTTCCATCCATGACATCCTTTATTCTACCACTTTTTTCTGATTTGCAAGACACTTTTCTATACTTTAATGGTGATATGTTAAAACCCCTACAGGGTTTATCAGTAGGTACCCTTTTATCAGTAGGACCCTTATAGCCAATGTCAGTTTTTAAAGTTTTATCTATGAAGAGTTTATGAGATGTAGATAGGATACTTTTCATTGATCTTGCGCTTTTTACCACTAAATTCAATTGTTAATTTATTCATTTATAGGGGCCGGGGATATAGCTCAGCAGCATAAGCACTTGCCTGGCAAACACGAGGTCCTGAGTTCAATTCCCGGTACCCAATAAATAAATAAATAAATAAATAAATAAATAAATAAATAAATAAATAAATTTATTCATCTATGTGAATTTCATAGTTATACACCAAAACCATTGGAAAAGTACACCAGTTATATTTCTTCCTTTCCAAAACATTTCCTTTCAGGGCTGGGGATTTAGCTCAGCAGCACAGCGCCTGCCTGGCAAGGGCAAGGTCATGAGTTCGATTCCCGGTACCAGGAAAGAAACCAAAACATTTCCTTTCTTTTATGCATTTTTCTGAACCTATTGCCATGGCTAGGGTCATATTTTTTTTTGTTTTTTGGGGGTTTTTTTTTGGTTTTTTGGTTTTTTGGTTTTTTGGTTTTTCTCCGGTACCAGGAACCGAACTCATGACCTTGCGCTTGCCAGGCAGGCACTTTGCCACTGAGCTATAGTATGACCCCTATAGGGTCATACTTTGTAGTTCAGGTCAGCCACGAAATTATGGCAAGTTATCTGGTAGAAGTAGTGACTTGGAAAATTCTTGTCCCATTCTCTCTTTGAAGGCTGGGCCACAAAATGTGAAGTTTATGCTAAGATTTTATAAATGCTATTCATAGGATTTAGACGTTGCCTCCTGTTCCTAATTTTATAAGGATGTTTTTGTTATTATTTTAAGTCATGGAAATGAGTTCCACTTTTTTTATACTTTATTTATTGATATTATTTCTGTATTCCCAGAAACTAATTTACTTAATTATATTTCATAAACTGAATGTGATCATAATACACACTCCCTAAAATATATATTTCAATGTGGAATAGAATATGTAAGTTTAGCTCAACAAAAACAGTGGGCTGTCAACTTAGTTTCTCTTACGGAATTGTCAGCTGTGGCAATACAATTGTTAACCCTGCTCTTAAAGCCAGTACACAATCAGTAGCGTAAGACTCTCAAGTGTTTACAAAAATTTCACTACTACTGCTCTTAATTAACATAAATACTATGGGAAAATATTAAACTATGCACTCAAATTTGTGAGACCTGGTCCTACAGCAATTGTTTATTTTGTTCAGTACTTTTGCTGGACACATTTCCCTGTGACTTTTTTATTTCAAGTAAACTTTCACATATATCAATGTCCATTTATAGTGTACGCATGTAAAAATTTAATGCACACCTGCACACGTGATCCAATCCTCAGCCACAGTATTGTATTCTTTTGCCATTTTCTTCTTACTTTTTTTTGTACCAGGAATCAAACTCATGACCTCAGGCTTGCCAGGCAGGCACTTATGCTGCCGAGCTACATCCCCCACCCTCTTCTTACTTTTTTATGTTTTTTATGTATCATAAATTAAGTTTATGGTACATTTTAGATATAAATTATGATCACATTCATCATAAGGAATTTGTACTTATACAATATATATCTTGATGCTTTATTTTCCCATTCCCCTACCTTCCCTTCCACCCCTCTTACCCTCCTTATTTATATATCCATTTTTCTTTCTCTTCTCATTTCTTTCTTTTCACTTCCTTCCTCACCCCTCCCTCACCTTAGTTTCTCTTCACATTGGAATATTTTATTCCTATTTCACAATATCTATTACACATTTTGGTCCTCATTTACACTTTTGGTTTCTCACACCAAGGAAACAATGTGGCATTTACACATGTATCTAATTTATTTCACTTAACATTATGGTCTCAAGGCACATCCATTTACCTAGAAATATCTCAAGTTTATCCTTCTTTATGGCTTAATAGTACACCACTGTATAAAAAAAAGCACACCTTCTTTATCAATTTATTGATCTGTGGACATTTGGGCTGTTTCCAAACCTTAGCTATTATAAACTGTGCCACTATAAACATGAATGTGCATATATCACTGTGATATAATGCTTTCAATTCTTTCAGGGAGATACCCAGAATGGGAATAGCAAAGTCCAATGGTATCTCTAATCTAATTCTTTTGGGAAGACACCCAGGAGAGGAATAGGTTGGTCAAATGGAACCTCTAGTCTTAGTTTTCTGAGGAATCTCCACATTGCTTTCTTTTTTTTTTTCTGGCACCGGGAATCGAACTCATAACCTCGCTCTTGCCAGGCAGGCACTGTGCCACTATGCTAAATCCCCAGCCCTTCCACATTGCTTTCCACAATGGTTGTACCAGTCTACACTCCCACCAACAGTGGAGAAGGGTTCCTTTTTCCCTGGTCCTGCCAGCACTTGTTATTGGTTGATTTGTGATAATGGCCATTCTTTCTGGGGTGAGATGGAATCTCAGCATTATTTTAATTTGTGTATCTCAAATTATCAGTAATGTTGAACATATATTTACTTGCTGTTTGTACTTCTTCATCTGAAAAGTGTCTATTCATCTCATTTTTGGATTGCCCATTTTTGGATTGGGTCTTTAAATTTGGAAGGTCTGATTTTTTTTTAAATTCTTTATATGTTCTAGATAGTAGTCCTTTGTCTGAGAAACGGCTGACAAAGATACTTTCACAGTCTGTGAGTTGTCTCTTGACTCTCTTGATAGTTACTCTTGCTATGCAAACTCTTTTTAATGAGATCCCCTTTGTTGATTCTTAGTGATGCTTCCCGTGCAATTGGAATCTTTTCATGATGTCTTTGCCTACACCAATGTCTTCAACAGTTCTACCTATTCTATTTCACAGTAGAGTTAGTTTTTCTGCTTCAATATTTAGATCTTTGATCCATTTTGATTTTAGCTTAGCACGTGGTGATAGAAATGGGTCTAGTGTTTTGTTAGTCTTCAACATGTAGAAAGCCAGTTTTTCCAGCACCATTTATTAAAGAGGCTATCTTTCCTCCAGTGAAGGTAGTTGGTTCCTTTGTCAAAGATAAGGTGGCTGGGTGTGCTGGGAGTTGTTTGTGCATCTTCTAATCTGTTCCACTGACCATCAAGTGTGCTTGTTTTTGTTTTGGGGGGTTTTGCCAGTATCATACATTTTTATCAGAGTAGCTCTGTAGTATAGTTTTAAGTTACAGATTGCGATGACCCCTGCCTTATCCTTGTTGCCCAGAACTGATTTTGGTATTCTATATCTCTTCTGGTTCAAAATGAACTTTAAGATTGTTTTCTCTAATTCTGTGAGATATGCTGCTGGAATTTTGACAATTTTCTCTTTCTAGTTCTTCAAATATATTGAGTTTCCAATTATTTTTTATTTTAAAGAGAAAAAACAATAACAACAATGAAGACAAGAACAAAAGCAATAAAAATGATACAGGATTTCAAAACAAGATGATAAGAATTAACAATGGTTGTTATATTACATATTGGTTTTTTGTTTGTTTGTTTGTTTGTGGTACCGGGGATCAAACTCATGACCTTGCACTTGCCAGGCAGGCACTTATGCCACTGAGCTATATCCCCAGCCCTACATATTGTTATCTTCAAAAAAGTTGCTCAGATTACCAGATGTAAGAATGCAAGATTGCTTCCTCTCTGGGTTTGGGCCTGGGTCGCGTCAATATGGCCAAACGCACCAAGAAGGTCGGCACTGTGGGTAAATACGGGACTCGCTAAGGGGCCTCACTCCGGAAAATGGTGAAGAAAATTGAAATCAGCCAGCACGCCAAGTACACCTGCTCCTTCTGTGGCAAGACCAAGATGAAGGGACGGGCGGTAGGAATCTGGCACTGTAGCTCCTGTATGAAAACAGTAGCTGGTGGTGCCTGCACCTACAATACCACTTCTGCAGTCACAGTCAAGTCAGCCATCAGAAGACTGAAGGAATTGAAAGGCCAGTAGAAGCGCTACTGTTGGAGACACCCCTCGCCTATAATAAATACGTTAATTTATGTAGTAAAATTGCCTTGGTGTGTTAATTTTGTTAGACATTTTAATTTGCATTGCATTAATGTTGCCCTTTGAAAAGAGATTTAGAAATTAAGTCCTAATTTGAATTCAAAATTGGCTGTTAGGTTACGGAAATGGTTCTCTTTTCTTCCGGTAGTCAGATGGTATAAGATGATAAATTTTATAGGTTAAGTATGTATCTTAGCTTTTGCCAGTTGAACTAATTTGGAATATGTTGATATATATTGTGCACATTTTAAGGTTTTTCTTTTCTTTGAGACAAGGTCTCAAGTTGCCCAGGCTGGGCTCAAACCTAAAATTTTTTTATTGCCTTGCCTTCCAGAGTATGACACCACCTAAAAGGTGGTTGAACTATGTGATGAATGTAACCATGCACTGCAAATATGTACCAATAAAGATTTTTTAAATCTTTTAAAAAAAAGATGCAACATTGATCCAGCAATTAAAGACAATAAAAATTAATTTAAAAATTAAAGGCAATGCAGAGCTTCACTAAACAAGATGGTAGGAATTCAGCAATAGTTGTTATATTGCGTACATTTCCAATTATTTTTAACAGACTCACCTTTAATCTTATTTTCTCTAGGTATGTCCTTTAATCTCTGTCATATTGCTTCCTATCTTCTATTTGCTCTGTGTTCAATTTGCTCTTCATTTTTAGTTTGTGACAAGCGTTTAAAATGCAGACCCTTCTGAGCATAGTGGCACATTATTGTAATCCCAAAACTCAGGAGGCTGAGGCAGGAGGATCACCCTGAGTTTGAGACCAGCCTAGGCTCCATAGTGAGGTCAAAGCCAACCTGAACTACAAAGCAACATCTTGTCTCCAAAAAGCACAAAAATAAAATAAAATGTGGAAGTTAAGTATTTCTTTATTTACATATACATAAAAGCACACCAGTATATATAATAGATGATGTACATTTGTCTCTAAAGCTTCAACTCTTAAGACTTGATAAGTAACATTTTTAATTACAGATGATCTTTTAATTGATGATTTATTCTGTAAAATACAGATTGTTAAGAACTGCATCTCATAAACCAAAAGCCTTCAGCATGTGAGACCACTAAGATCATCATTCTGTATTTGTGCACATGGACTACTTAAATAAAAGTACCACATCCTGAAACTATAAATATGCATATCCATATTAACTACATACATAGCTATGGTACACTGCATAATCATTCTTGCAGAATATCAAAGCAGGTTTGAAATGATACTAAGTGAAGCAAGGAGATAACAAGAGACTTAAGGAGAATGAGCCATGAACCTCTATGCAGGTACTTTGGATTTAGGTTAAGTGTATTAGGATGAGCGGGACCCTGTGGGAAGATGAGAGGATTTCTCAGGTTGACTCTGGCCCATGAGGGGAGGGGAGGGGAGTGTACGAAGTTCTCTGGCAAAGAAATGAGGGAAAAGCCAGGAAAAAGTGCACGTCGGGATGACCCCAAGGTCAGGGCTCCAGAAGGGACAAAGGCTGGCCTCATTAGACAATTCTTATTTCTTGCTTAGAAATGATATTGGTATCTTTTCAAAGAATGTTCTCTGTAAGGTTACACCTAACAGTGTATACCTGAGTTCCTACAGGCCCATTTCTAAGTCAGACTTTCCTGCTGTAACATCATGAACTGATCTCAACTTGACTGAGATGTAGTCAATTTGTATATAAAAACTGCTAGACTGGTGGTGGTGGACCTATGGTATGTGTGCCACAGTAGGGTGTTGAAAGCTCTGAAAGGTTCGCTATCACTGCCACAGACAAACAGCCCTGGTGGCAACCCACTCGGGTTCCCCTCCCAATATTGGGGGCTGATTACTTCTGCTTTACCATAAATGCTGCTTTCCCTTTCCATTGTACAATAAATACATTTGCTCAGTTCTCTTTTGACCCTCCAACATGTAATTCTTTCCGGGCTGAGAAAAGAACCCACCACCTGGATGGTAACACTACAGTTCTTGTGCATTGAAAACATAGCAGCCAAGAAAACAAATTAGAAAATACCTAGTAGAAAGACAACTTCCCCATGTCATGATTTGCTATAAATTAAAGTATTTCCAAAGAGCTATGAAAAATCTTCAATATCAGATTTTGGTAACTTTGCTATGCTATGTCTCAACTCCTACCCTCATGTTATCTATAAAGTTGAGTGACACGGAATATCATTTTTAGCCCTTTGAATATGACATCAAAGGGGAATTGTCACTTTGACCACTTCTGCTAATCCTAGCAAGGATTTATTCCACCCTTCATCTTTCTGGTACAGTACTAATGCTGCTTCCTCTGTAAAGGGCCTTTGGCACCTCCCAAAATGTAGACAATGTCACTGAGGAAATCCCTTCTATATGCATATGACCATTTCAGCTGTCTGAAATGAGCTGAAATTCATCACACAGGCTGTGTTCTCTCATCACATGAATTCAAGGACAGTGGGGATAAAACCCTAGTAAGGAGGGCTACATGGTACTATAAGTATGTTTACATCAAAGACATGCCTCTGCCTCAGACAAAACAAAATCTCCTAAAGGACTCACTTTGGTCAAGAAAAGTGGAAGGAACTGGAAAACTAGAATATCCCAGGTCGATGTGGGAAAAGAGAAGGGAACGAAGGAGAAATTTTGTATGTATGTATATACAGGATAGATAACATGGTTGTTCTTCTGTCTTCTATTTCTATGCTGAAAGAAACTGTCAATGAGTCTTTGGTTGACCAGTATTGCATGTTTATCTCTGTTTTCATGAGAAGCCACTTTGAAGATATCAATATGTAATACAACCACCATTGTTAATTCCCTACCACTTTGTTTGTAACTCTGTATTGTCTGTATTGTGCTTGTGATATGTTGTAAAATGTTGTATGTCTGTTAATGTTTCCCTCCTTTTATCTTTAAAATAAAAAAAAAAATAGAATATCCCAGGTCATTGTCTACATGTGAGCTAAATGTAGCTTCAAAAAATAGAAATGTGTGGGGAGAGGGTTCTTTTCTTGAGAAGAGGCACATACGTGTAATGCCAGCTATGCTGTAAGCTGATCACAAGTGTGAGACCAGCCTGGGAAAACTTAGTGAGTCTGTTTCAAAATAACAAAATAAAAATGGCAGTGGGTGTTGCTCAGATGTAGAGCAGCTCTGAATTCATTCCACAGCAATGCAAGGAAAGAAACAAGAAGAAGAAAAGGACAGAAAAGAAACAAAAAATGATAAATGAGTGTAACTCAAGGGAAAATGTGCTTTTAAGGAGTAATTGTAATGAACAGAACAAATAAATTTCAAACTTTAGGAAGAAAGATATTTTTATCACTGGTGCCTTCTACAGAAAGTTTTTTCTGTTTTCTGAATGGGTAGGGAAAGTAGAAAGTAGAGGTGGAGAATTTGTCTAGAATGCAAGCTCTTACCCGTGTCATTGGCGATCTCATTCTCTGGGCAAGGGGTGCAGTCAAAACAGCAGGCAGGCTTTCCCTCTTGAGGGGATTTCCTAAATCCAGGATTGCAATTCTCACTGCATACAGAGTGGGGAGTCTAGGGAGAAAAACACATGGTGGTAACTTCTTAGAGTTTTACTTTACCTTCAAACTAGAGGAATAACATTAACTTTTATACATACACACATAAAATTATAGAACTGACAGCCACATTTATTTTAGTATATGAAATATATAAATATATACAAAAATATGATGAAATGTGTTTCCCATTCATTAGAAAGTTGTTGAATAAAGTATTCAAATTAGCAAATTAATAATTCATCTTCAATATGTGGCCATTTCATGATCAAAACTGGGACACAAAATACCTACAATTGTTACTTGTGGTTAGTGATGTGTACTGTCTTTGGGTCCAACATACCTCTGTTATCGCTGTGGCCCATTCTATCATGTCAGCAGATAAAGACAACTGCTGGTCAAGTGGAGCTCGTGGGGAAAATATTCCTACATTGACCTTGAGTCTAAGGCCTTCAGGAAAATTCCAAGAATTGAGAATGTCATACTCTGCATGCAACTTCCTTCTGTCATCCAAGTTCACTTTGTCTCCAGCAAGATTATTAAATTGCATATTCTTTAGAAAGGGGTGGAGCTAAAAGAGACACATCATTCCATGGTGAACAGGGCCATGATTAAGACAGAAAACATGACAATGTTTTCACATCATGAATGTAGAAAAGTGTAGAAAAGTATCTAAGTTGTCTTTTATTTCATTTCCATAATGCAACTTTAGCACTGACATCTAATGAAACAGAAAAAATAAACCACTACTGATGGAGACCACTATGAAGCAGCTCTGAGCAGGACTTAAATTAACCAACTGGCTTTCCATATTTACTTATGAGTCTGTCCAAGGCCTAGGCTCCTTGTCTGGAGATGGGTGGTGGACTCAGCAAATGAACCTCTGTGAGTCACTCGTGGCTACTGAGACATGTAATGGTGCATGAAGCTGTAAAACCTCAAAGGATAGGACAAGGTCACAGCCAAGGACACCTGAATCCAACCTCTACTAGATAAAGGCTGTAGACTCAGCATCTCGCTCTTGGGTGGAATAACATAATATCCTACTTGGAGAAGTCCTTGAGTGGTTCATCCTTCTCGAGTACTCCTCCCCCGCTTCTTCTGGTAACTAAATTACAGGTCACCAAGAGAAGATTGTGGTCTTAGCCCTGAGAGAATCTTGAATTCTGTGAGAGGGTTTTGATCCTCCTGGATCCCTGAAATCATTCCATTTGCTTGTTTTATTTCTCCTTTGCCATACACTCATTTGGGAGATTGCAGACCTGATCAGTCCACAATAAAAAAAGGATATTATTAACTCAATAACTACAGAAGTCTAAAATATAATAGTGTTCATAAAATGTCACTTGCAGTAGAAAATATTTCATCCAAGCCTATTTTTAAGTAGTGAGCATGTGTGTTAGACAAAAATCAACTGTGGCATCTAAGCTTTCAGTACTTATTTTCTCTGACTGCGCCCACAGCATCTACCTGCAAAATGAGATTATCAGTCCAAAAAGAGTTTGCAGAATTAAATGAGAAAATTCATATAATAAACCCAGCTTATGACTTAGAGTGATTTCAGTTCACACAGTGTACAAATGTTTCCATTGTCCAATAATTACTCCGTGAGAAATGCTTAGATTTTTGCTGAAAAGTTAGGTGGGCAGGATTTTGACATCCCTTAAACCAAAGTAATGATCTTGCCTCCTATATATTTCCACCTTGAGAGTAGTTTCTCAGTTGGTGATCATTCTACCCAGCTCAAGGTTTTCCTCCTTAACAGTTAGCCTGGTACATAATTTCTTATACTATTAGAAAAATAATTCCAAACTTTGGGGAGGCAGTGCATGTAGAAAACTCAAAGATACCCTGATGATAGTGCATGCCACCCAATGGAAGATACATTACCTGCCAGGCAGAAAACTCCATCACTTGTTTACCTTCCACTAGTGGTCTTTGTACTTGTTGAAGAAGCATCTCATGGAGGGCATGGGCCACCGCATAGACAGCATTGTATATATTGTAACTCACATCACTCATGGCCAGGTCAAAAAGACTCACAGGTAACCATGCCAGAGAGGCATTAGGTATACAGTTCTTCAATGCACAGTCAGAATCAGAGAACGAGCAATGGAAATTTTTGTACCAATATATAGTAAGATAAGTGTCTTCTGGGTACTTGAAAGGGTTGGCTGCCTGGACAAAATTTTTAAAACCAGAAATCTCTTCGTGGTGATTTGAAAAAATGAGAGTCCCATGGAATGAGTCAAGGATGAAATTGGTCCCAGCAGTGTCAGCCTGCCATTGTGAGTTTGTCACCCAGACTCTCCATGTCACTAAATGTTGCCCTATGTTATAGTTTACTTCACTTACACCAGCAGTGTCATAGTAAATGACAACCACGTTCACTAGTGATGTTTCTCTTGTCAGGATGTCATAAGTCCATAGATTTGAGGTGTATGACACCAGAGGAGTTGGAATGAATTTCACAAAGGCTACACAGACTCTGTTCCTGTCCATCTCGGCTCTTATATCTGAGAGAAACTGAAGACCCTTGTGGCCTTCTGTGATGAGCAGGCCCACCCAGGTCCAGCGGAAATGAAGCATCAAGGACACCATGCCAAGGGCCAGAGATGCCTCCTTTGGGGCCACTTGGTAGAGAGAAGGAAACTGGCCATTGTCACTCAGTGTGGGATCAAACGAGCCAAAGGAAACCTAAAATGAGGAGAAGTGGAAGGAATGTGTAGAAAAACATTGATAAAAAAGCTTACAATCAGAACCAAAGTATACTACATAACAGTTACAAATAGTACAAGACGCATCTTTCATTTTTCACCATTTTGCTCCTTCATAGCTTTTTTAGAAAATAACTTATCAGATACAAAGTTTCAGGAAACCCTGTTGTATACTTTTCTCTTCCTTCCTTGCTGTAGAAAAGGAAATCATAACACCAAGTCCCTGTGTACCCGTTCTTTGAAATCATACGCATTGAGAGATGCATAAACCCAGTTGCCTTCTTCTACCTCCTTGATGCATGTGACAATGGCACCAACAAAGACAGGGTTTCCTCGTTCCCCATCCCACCACCCTCACCTGTGGGAACTTGTAGAGCTCCAGCAGGCTTCCAATTTGAGTAGCAGTGGCCCACGTGGTTCCTGTTAGCACTGCCATGGACTTGCTCTCCCTCCTACAGGAGTAATTGGGGATCTCATCCTGTCCTGTCAGCAAAATGAGGGAACTCTCCATGATCCTCCAATGACTGTAAAGGAAATTGTGGAACTCATAGCCCAGAGAAATGTTGGGTAAAAGATGAGGATCCCTGTTGATCTCTTCTATGGCAAAAATGAAGGCTAGAAAATGCTGGTAGTTATTGGACAGGAGCCTGCAGAGGGAGCACATAAGTCCTTATGTAAAAGACTTAGTACGTGATTATCCTCCAAACTGACACGAGGCCAAATATAAACCAAGCAAGTATGGCCTTCCCCACATCCCTTCACAAGAACCTAAGCCTAAATGTGATGATGTTAGAAGTTTGAGTTTTAGGTGGTAATTAACATTAGAGGAGTACAAAAGGTAGGTCCCTCATGAGTGATATTAGTGTCATGAAAGGACAACAGAGAGTTGCTTCATCCTTCTGCTATGTGAGGATGTATTGACAGAACAGTTGCTCATAAGGTAATAAGCAGAACCAGAGGGATCAAGATACATCGTGTACAGACACAAATTCCCTATGTTGGATGTTATCATTATGTATATCCAAAATGTACCAATAAGTTTAATTTAAAAAATAAAGTAAAGGCAGATACTCTCTTGATTTCCTGAGCCTCCGTAATACCCAACTTGTGGCCTATTTTCATGTAGCAAGCTGAAATAAGTCAATATCTTAACTAAGAATAAATAACCAGAAAATGTAACCTGTGTTTGGAAAAACTGGCTCACGTAATACCTGAGTATCTATATTTCAAACAAAAAACACTACTTGGGCTGCACAAGATCCTTTTTAAATTCCACATACAAGGAGTGAATTGTAATAAATGGAAACACGGATTATATTCACACTGGGGTTTCTGAATGGTCCTTGGTATCAAAATAATTGTGCATATTGACACACCATTAAATTCTTTATATTACAACAGTGAAATTCACATGAAGCTGGAAATACCAAGGAAGCGGAAGAGTAATTTTTAAAGAAATATCTGGGACAAGCATAGAAACGAGACATCTGTGGGATGACTATCATGTAGCAGAAAACTTAAAGTTAAGTTATCTAAACCTCATGGACAAAGGAAAGAACCATGAATCATTGGCAGGACTCCAACCCCTTAAGAATCCTAAAAAGCCTACATTTTAAATTTTTAATCTTATTTTCATTTTTATTGGTACATGTTTGCAGCACGTGGTGATGACAGTCCTTATGGGGAGTTGTCACATGTACATAACTCTTCTTAATTGTTATACCTTTCTCCTCCTCCCCCTCTGTGTCCCCTTCCCTTTTGTAAGAGACCTTTCTCCCTGTTTCCTATTATCTTGTTACTTTGCACTTTATTTATATTTTGGGTTTCTCATGTCAGAGACCACGCAGTATTTAAGTTTGTGCATCTCAATAATATGAACATTTTAGCAGTGCTTTTTCTAAATAGCACCATTCTCTGCACATTTCCTGCAGTGTTAAACACAAAAAGGTTCCTTACCGATGACAGCTTCTTGCACTTACATTCCCTAAGATTGAAAGCTTTGACTGATTTCAGCTGATAACACACTATTTCCTTGTATTATTTCTAATTGTCAGGTGTGCTGATTCATCAGCAGTGTAGGTCATGTTCACACCTCATTAATGCTCCCCGTGTGGGAGGGAAACCGTGTTACTGCTGTTTTGGCAGTCACAGAGAGCAACCCTGGGCCTCCCACAAATTTGACAAATGCCTGAGTACTGACGTACATGCAGAGCCCAGCCACATGTTCCTCACTTCTGGGCTATATGTATCTAGATGTGTTCAATAACCTGGTCTTGCTAATTTAATTCTGAAACAGTCTATTGATGAACAGATGTTATTTCTTTGAGATAAGATTGTTGGAAATCCTCAATATGACTCTATGAATGTTCCTACCTATACTCCTTCATAACCATCCTTCTCCTGCTCCTCTTCATCATCAGCAACAGAAAATTCATCTTCACCTTTTGTCTCCTTTTCCATCTTGTCTTAAAATTTCATAGAATATAAAATATTATAGTACAAAAAATCTTAATGTATGTGTTAAATCAAAATCTGTATTTCTTTGTGATACTTTGAATATCCACATGATTATATAGTGCCTGAACACAGACCAGGGTAAGGAGAAATGGTGGGTGAGGGGACACTTTCTTATTGTGCATGCAAAAGGAGAAAGATAAATAGGCTTAGGAGAAGCCAAAAGGAAATAGGTATATTGATTTTACCAGCTGTTAAACATGGGACAAACAAGTTATCAGAAAACATGTATATAAATGTATAGAGAAATGTTTGTTGTATACTTGATCCCTGTATTTACCTTTTTGTTGTGGACATGGATCAGGGAGTGTCTCAGTGATTGTATGCCTGTTAAGACTGAACAGCTTGCTAAGTTTCTTGAGCTTGTTTGTTTCTAGAAGAAAGAACTATAAGTTTACATACTTGGGAGCAAGTGGAAAAGCAACTTAGCACAAGGTTAGGGAAAAAGAAAACTAGCACAAATCTATCTGGGCCTCTACAGACTTTTAAAGGGTTATTTCACAGGGAGAAGCTGCTGCTTTCTCTCTTCTCACCACTTCTCACAGATCCCCGGGAAGAGGAAGGAACAAAGAGCTCCACCGAGCCTGGAGCTTGGCCCAGACAAGGGAGGTGGATGGAACGAAGTTGCTTGTTTCAGCTGCAAGGGTGAAGTGTTATGATTCTAATGTAATATAATGTTGACAGACTTAATACTGCTTCTTAAGTATTGTTAAACCTGTGTTAAAATGTTCAAATCGTGAAATGATAAAAATAAGTATGTCTTTGTATCTGGAAACTGATTTTTTTAAATGTGTAAGCTGACAAGGGTTGGACTGGAATGGTTGATGCATTACGTCAACTTGAGAAGTTTAGAAGCCTGGCTGGGTGACTCAAGGGGGGCCAGGGTCCTCACTTTGTAAACATGCTCATCCTGTGCAGGAGAAGGGCACAGAGACATTGAACACGCTGCATCTGCCCTAGGGGGTAGTGTGCTTACAATGTAGGGGAGAAAGGGAGGACAGGGTTTTTTTCCTACACTTAAGACTGACAGTGGCTCAGCATATACAAGTGCTGCTTTCCAAATGTTTTGTAAAACTTTTCATATTTTCCCTGCTACAGGGGTACTCCTTACAATCATCAAGCTCTAAAAATTGTTAAACATGTTCACCATACACTCAAAATTCAATTACAAAAGCAAAATGGGGAGTCAATCCTTCGTTGCAAACTTTGCACCTCATAATAGACTTCACTTGGCAGTACATACTATTAACTTTTAAAACCCTACTAAGGATGGAACTATAGCAGCAGAAAGACAATTCAATCAGGTAAAGAAAAGACGTTAGGAAGGGTCCTTTGGAAAGATCTTCATACTGGACAATGGGAGGGACCCAGCCCACTACTCACTTAGGGCCGAGGGTGTGTGCTCGTGTCTTTCCAGAGAAAGATGAATGGCCTATCTGGGTGCCAGAGCACAGTGTCTGGCTGTAGCATGTGCCCAGATCAGGAGGAGCTGATTCCACCTTTCAAGGAGCTGATGTGCAGTTCTATGACAGGGATACCTTGGAGACTGCTCTACCGGTGACAGACAAGGGTGGGGCTAAATCTGACACGGGGCCAACGAAGAAATTGACCCAGAATGCCAAGAAGATGGTCACCAAAAATAGAAATCAAAGGTCTGAGTAGGTGACAGAGTATATAGAGATAACTGAGCTGAAAATTACCAGTATCCTTAAGATAAAATAAAATGTAAGAAATATAGATTATAGATTAAAGATTTTATTCCTTCCAAATTCTTCTTGTAAAGATCTCTGTTAATTGATGAACAACAAAATCTGACTAGTCTATTAGTTATGAATTCCTAAAATTGTAAGTGTTACTTTAATTCAATATTGTCAAAAATATATTTGGGTGAAAAAAGATATATATATATATATTTGGGTGCACTCTGATTTTGTAAGACATTTATTTGCCCAGTCTGTTAAGCTGTGTACTTATTTATCTGTTTAGCACACCCAGGAACAGCTGTTCCTTTTATTTGAGCACAACAATTTTTCTCTTTTCCTTTTTTCTTTTGCATGTTTGGATCATTTGTTCATAAATTAATTTGAGTTATAGATTTAAAGGCATGCTTCCATCCAGGTTGCCAGCTGGTCAAAATGATGCTAAAATTATTTCTGTAAATGTAATGTATATTGTTGTTTATGTATTACGACTCGAGAGTCCCCCGTTGTTCAAAAATAATGTGTTAAATGCTGTGATTGGATTTTCATAAGCCATCAAAAAATTGAGATAACTAAACAAAAATCCCTTGGGGTGTAGAGAGGCTGTTGGACAGGACATCAGTTAATGAATAAAGAAGCAGCTGCCTGGATAATTATCCAGTCCTTGTTCATTGCTAAGAAGTCCCCAGCAAGCTCCATATCCATATGGAGACACTCCAATAAATGTTATTAAAAATATATTATTGTAATAAGTTTACATTGGTCTTTGTAAAAAAAGATTAAGTTTTCTAGACAATAAGGTTTTTTATTTAAAGATGCTCTGATACAAGGTTTTTATATGACTATGACAATTGATTCTTATTATTTTTGTAATGTATTAAATGTATTCATGCTTCCAGATGTACAGGTCTTCCAAAATGTAAAACAAAGATTGCTTATAGTGACAGACTTTTCCTTCAGATTCCGCCCTCTACCTTTAACAAAAAACTTATGTGATGAACACCTCATTAAAGGTCAATAAAATAGGTAAAAGTTTCTTAGGTATTAAATAGAGATGACTGATTGAAGGGGTTATGCTATGTCAAAATGGAGATTTAAGTATGCTACAAAATACTATCATGATAGTCATGCTGCAGTGTTATATATGGTTTTGATTTCTAATTTTCTGTGTAAAATGTGTAACTTATCTGTTATATTCTGTAGGGATTCAAATATTAGAATATCCGTGGTTGTTAGAAAATAAAAGTTCCACTTTGATGTTCTAAGGTGTTTGATAGTCAGATAAGATAGTAATATTAAGCTTACTGCCTCCATTACGATGTAATGTCACTAATCTTCTCTTCTGGATGTTCAACAACTGAGGTATGGAGACCAAAAATTAGAGAGATAGATGGGATAAGAGGATAGCCAATATTTTGGCCCTAGCCTTATGAGATCAATGAGAACCCAGGACATAAGAGAACCTTTACTGTGACAACCTATAACTCAATTGAATCCTTGATCTTATGACCAAGGAGATTGTGGGACCACAGAGGAAAGTGGTTCAATGACATATAGTGTGCCTAAGGAGGGTCACCAGGAAAGAAAAAATCTCCCAAGCTTTCACAGAGAGCAACTTGGTCAAGCAATGGCCATGACTCATCCAGATGGCTGACAATGACAGAACTAAGAGATGCTGTACTTGGTTCCAAGGTAAATCCTGAGGAGACTTAACTGACCTTGATAAATAGCAAAACATTGATGCAAACAGGTCTCACCTTAACTCGGCCTTGAACATCCAGCAGAAAAGTATAACCACAAGATGTGTAAAACAATGCCATAGCAATATGCTAGCTATAAAAACATTCAAACCACTAACATCTTCTGACAATTGCCAGATACACTGGTAACTGACTACTATTATGGGTTAATGGACTGTATAGGGTCAAATTGCTGAACACGGGGATCTGAACATCTTTGGACTGGGAATCTTTACAATAAGGAGTGAGTTCACTCAGAAGGGAAAGGGCCTGAGAACGAAAAGGTCTTCTATAGACTCCCCCAAGCACAGCTCCTCCAACTTCAACTGACCACCCATCGCTTGCAAGTACAAAACAGAAAAGGAGAAGATGTAGGGAGTGGCTGAAGCCGGAAATTGACCACACATGCTGGGGGCAAGGCAGATCTGAGAACAAAGAGCTCCTGAGGCAAGCCATGAACACAAGTTGTTCCAGCTCCAAGAAGGAGAGCTGCTCAGGCTCACATACAAAGTTGCTAGGCAGCAGGGATGAAATTGACATCAACCTCCTGAGAGTATAAACAAATGCACTGTGGTGACTGAGCAGTTCCTTTCCTCCCAGCTGGAGAGAGGATTTCACCTGACCTCAGCTTTCTATCCCTTTTATTTTTCCACCCTCCCGCTGTTACCCCCAGGAACTTCAAGAGCTGCATGGATGCAGCAATGTGTTTTTATTTAGGTAACCTAAGCATGTCATAAATTCTTAAAATTTTTGAGTAAAGAATTATCCTAAGTTAAACTCGAGTCACTTGTAAGAAAATAGTTGCACCTAGAGACCACAGTGTCAAGTAAAGTAGATCAGACATACAAGCTTAAATATCACACAGCTTCTCTTATATTACAAACCCAATGTACAAATAAAGCACAAAATAAAAGACAAACAATAGAAAAAGAGAGAAAAATACTACTGTAATCCAGCATGCACAATGTATCTAAAAATGTACCTTGATTTTGTAAAATTGTTTTATGTATTTTTATGCACTTCTGCCTATTAGTCTAGCTGATAATCTGTATTTATGACAACTGCCTTGATACGGACTTAAAAATAAATAAAGCTAATGATGGCAAGAAAGTTTTTTAACAAAGGGAAAGTGAAGAGGAAGGGGAAAAAGAATTGAGATGTGTCATGTACATGTGCTAATTCTCCATGATGAATGCAAGCAGTATATACTGCCAACATGTACTAATAAAAATTTCTTTAAGACAAGAATTACCCTAAGTAAGTCTTTTAAAGATTTGATTGTATTTTTAGTATTGTCACATCTTTGCAAAGAGAAAAAGAATGTTATTTGAAGTACATGCAACATCTGATACTAAGAAGCATCCATTTCTGGTTGAATTTAAATGTCTAGAAGAAAGCTATTTTCTTTAATATTATTATTAGAATATAATTAAAACAAACTTCCCATCCATAGTGATCCATGCGGAGTGCAATAGTTGTGATGGATACATCAGTTTGATTGATTTAATTATTTCATATTATAAATATATAATAGCATCATATTCCATAAACTTATCCAATTAGTATTTGATAATGGAGGATAAAACAACTCTTTCAAGTTAAAATTAATCTCGCTTAATGAAAAAAGCAATGAGTCAAAATGAGAGTGAGTGAAGGTCAGGTGTATGTCACCCTCCTTCCCAGAATGCATTGCCAGACAACTACACCCTCCATCACCACTTGGCAGACCTTCTGCTAAGAAAACTTTGAATCATAGTGTTGACATGGTATGACTACCACTGAATGCTTGGGGTGAAATTCTTTTTTTTTTTTTTTTTTTTTTTTTTGTCTTTTTGAGACAGGGTCTCTCTATGCAGTTCAGGCTGACCTTGAGCTCACTTTGTAGCCCAAGCTGGTCTCAAACTCGCAGCAATCCTCCTGTCTCAACCTCCCAAGGATTAAAGGCATGTGCCACCACGCCCGGCTGGGATGAAAATTCTTAAAGAAGTTGTACATCAAGAGCATTTTCAATGAAGTAGCCACCGAAGCAAAATTTTTCCACATCACATGGTTTTCTTTCAGTTTCTGGCTAAAAAATAAATATTTAGTAAAATAACAGGAGAAAAAAAAAAACACAACTAAAGAGACAAACAGGCATTAGTATCTCATAAAGGATACAAATCGTTCACTTCAAAAAAAAAAAAAAAAAAAAAAAACTCTCCTCAAAATGGGAAAAGGTTTCATGACTTCAAGAACAGATTCAGGAGCCCAAAAAAAGCAAAGTAAATGAAACTGTCAAAAACGTTCTGATATAAAATCAGTAACTTAAAACACATCTGGGAAAATGTATGTAGTATAACAACAGAACTTCTAATTGAACACTTAACATAGCCATACATTTCTAGTAAGGAGATAGTATCATTAAAGAGAATATTTCATAGAAGTTAATACTGAACAAGTTTTTAATCCAAATTACCACTACTCTACAATTAAAAGAAGCCAGGTTTTTTTATGGCAATGTTATGGGTATTGGGAAAGTGTCTTTTAAAGTAGTTATACTAATTCTGAACAATGAGGAGAGAATGATGCAACTCAATAAATACGTTTTAAGCAGGTTGGGAATGGCGCTGAAAGATGTAGATGTATCAGTGGAATAGAAAAATAGACAAATGACCAGCTTATTGATTTGTTGACATATAAATATATGTATATCTAATATATATATATACACATACATATTTCTTCTATTATAGAGCATGTATTAAAAATCAAGACATAAATATAAAATTATTTCATTGATAGTGTAAACAAACTATTCTGAAACATAAATCTAAGCTGATATACACATATTTATGGTACAATTAAGGAGAAGTACTACGTAAATGTTAAATAATAAAATTGACAGAACATCAGTGAATTTACAAAATTGAAGATCAAGATACATGACAAGGATGAGTAAAAAAGTCAAAAGATGGGTAAATTTTTGCCACCTAAATGTAGGTGTTTCAGCTTGAACATGGGATATGCAAAAATATTTTCAGCAAGCAAAAGCCCAGTAAATCATTTAAAATTACTTAGTCAACAAAACTTTTCATAAGTATCCAAAATATTTTTTTAAAAATTGAAAGATCTGTAGTAAAACTTTTAAAAATTGGTGACATGGAAGTCATCAAATAAAATATTCTTAATATAATACAAAAAATATAACTAATTCAAGTGTATCAGCATGATCCTATTTGCAAAACATCAGTTCAGACCTGTTGCTTGATTTCCAGGTGAAGGAAATAATACTACCCTGTGTGATTGGTGAAAATTTCCACTTTTATTTTACTAGAAGGTTGTTTGATAATATGCATAAAATGATTTAAGTATGACAGCTTCCAAAACAGCCATTCTGCTTCTTTCAGCATTGATTGTTTTAGGCAGACAGCATACCTGTGTATAGCACAATCTGTCATATATCAAAGGCCTATTATCTTCATTATTATAGGAACATGATAGAAACCAATTAGAAATTGGGCACAGTTAAAAATTGGTGAATTAAACTATGATAGTCTTACAGGATATAATATTTGGAAGTATAACAATTATCATGAAGATATTGATATATATACAAACATATACAATATTTTGTAAAGTAACGACACCAATTAGAAGCAAAATACAGACAGAATAACCCTAGTTTGAATGTATTTATATTTATGTGCAGAGTTCAAGATATTATCAAGACGACAGCATAATTATGGTCATTCCACTTGCACCCATGAACACAGCTTCCTTTAAAATATTTAAAGTACTTTGTAAAATATAACTTTGCTGCAAAATATATTAACTGTATGTATGTAAATATTTTTCTTTTGCAAAGATTCTTTCCTTTTGATTTTTGAAGAAACAAAAATATTCTTATGAGTTTCTAAAGTCTTGCTTCTGGTGGATAAATCAGTCTGGACATAAAGTGTTCTTAGAACTGCAAGTTTGTTCTTTTCAATCACAGACAAGTTTGAGCAGGTAGTTAATCCTCTCCTCCCAGAAATAAAAGTAAACTCTCTGCCCAACAACCTTAAAATACTCTGGAAATACCATCACACTAGATATCTGATCAGTTCCTCTTCTTCCTTTGTCTAAAGTTGAGTGATTACACTCAGCTGCCTTTAGTTAGAAGGTTGCCTGAGCCAGAATCCCTCGTTACCCTTATGCCATCCCCTGTAATATTCCACCCAGTGACCTCAAACTTTGTCTTTGATTGTGAACTCCCGTTAGCTCAGGCTGACTCAGACTCCACTGAAATCCACTTCCTCTATGCACATCTACCTTACAGTGGTCTCTATACTGAGAGTTGTGCCCTCAATGTAAATAAATCTTTATTACCACTTCAATGACTGCCATTTGTAATTTTTTTCTGTAATAGATTTCAAGAAATTCAGAGCAGATCTCAATGACTAAATCACCTAAAAAACTTGCTCGTTTTTCACGAGATAAGAAACATTTGCCACATAGCAGAACCAGAGTCTGCACATTAAACACATTGATAACAACATCAAACACATTTTGGGACATTCAGGAAATACACATACACATAGCAGGTATAATATCACACGCCTATGATGTCAGCTACTGAGAAGGCTGAGGCAGGGGAAATTCTTGAGCCCAAATGTTGCTACTACCCTAGGCAACATAGTAAGATCCTGTCGCTAAAAACCAAGTAAATATGAAGAAAGAACAAAGCAATGAAAATAGAATGGAACGTCAGGACATGACGAGAAATGGAAGTAGATGCACGCACCACCTATAGAAAACAGAGACCCAAATTCCTAACCATGTCATCCCTGTTCCCAGACATGGGCAGTGGCCACATGAATATTTGATAAAAGACAATCGGCCACTGTTTCAGTAATATCTCCTTTTTCTTTTTCTTTGCGGTACCGGGAATCGAACTCACGACCTCGCACTTGCCAGGCAGGCGCTTACGCCACTGAGCACTATCCCCAGCGCTAATATCTCTTTTACTCACAAGGCACAGATCATCTGCTAGAATCCTTTGACGCTTTGCAAAATCTATTTTCTGTTACATATCTGGCTACAAGACCGCTGAGCTTGTCTCTCCAGACAGAATGCTTGCGTGCTCAGTGAGGATCACTGGAAGGTAGAATTCTCACGGATGACTCGGCCCCTACTCCAGGCCTGGCTGCCCACTCCAGTGTCGTGGAGCAATCGTGGCATGAAATAATGACACACAGTTTATATGGAAAAAAAATCCCTGAACATCCACCCTGAGAAGGAGGATGAGAAGGAGCAGTTGAGCACAGCACAAGCAGAAAAGGAAGAGCGGGCGTAATCAAAGAGCCCGCAGGCCATGGATTGGGTCGGGGTATTTTGCTCTGGTCGGCAGGCACTGACTTTAATCCAGGGGCTAAGGTGGGTTTCTAGGGATCAGCTCTCAATGCCGTGCAGCGGCAGCTAGGTGGGGCGGGGGCAAGGGTAGCGGACCAGGGTTGAGCAGTGTCTCACTCAAGCTGCAAGCCTAAAAACAGGAAGCTAAGCAAATAAAAAGAATACCCTCCTCCCACTTTGGAAAGGTGAAAAAGAGGACCGAAATGTACAGTATTTGATCGACAGCCCTGTGCATGTGTGGGTAGGAAGGACAGGGCAGAAATATAGAGAATATTCATGTATCTATCCACAGAGCACAGGCACGATCCATCCCGATATCCAAGGAGAAAATGAATACATAAAAGGGTACTTACGGCACAATAAAGAAGTCCTTCATAGGCATCAGCTCAAAGACGCCGGTGGAATATAAATAGAAATAAAGGGAGAAAAATCCCCCGATCACCGCGTCTCCCTCCTTGTGCACACTGATGCTCCTGCTGAGAAGGCAGGCTTCATTATCCAAATAGCACACCCAGAGAGGCAGCTGCAGGAGAAGGAAAATAATAATCAAAGGGACCATTTTGGAGGTGTCTACAAACACATCTAAGGGAAAAGACAACCTGCAGCGTCAGCCACGGATGTGCATATATTACATTTCTGTTCCTGGGTGACGCAAGTGGACAGCCTTACATCCCAGGCTTCGTTCGCCTTTTCCATGTCCCGGGAGAAATTTGCCACCATTTCCCTTCCGGGCTCTACATCTGAGGCCTGGTGTCCAGGTGACAAACACGAGTTGGAGATATATTTCACCACCATTCTCTCCCCCTGGAGGTGCTGTGATTTCATCAGCTGCACTGACAGCAACCTCCCAGGGGCCACCTCGTCTTGGGTAGGTTTGCTGCTAAGCTAAGCCAATAAGTCCTGCGCAGAGATGCCTCTTGAGGTGTTGCCGGTGGATTGCACTAGATGATTCAGTGTTGGGTATTTGTTGAAATGGTCTGAAAAGGCCGGGGCAGAGCCAGGAATAACTGGGGTATTACACCCTAGAAAGCTTAGGATACAGAGCTGCAGCATTATAAATCCAAAGTTTACCGTAGATAGGAAACATTTCTCTTATGTCCTATACTGCGTACAAGCCACGGGGCTACACCTCACAGCCTCATGTACTCTGCATTGCTTGGGGTACCAATAATTAACCTGAATCCAGAAAATCCAAATTAGTAACTCTAAACCTAAGATACAGACATATAGAGAAGACATTGGGAGTGGGGGGAGAGGGAGAGAGACAGAGACAAAGTCTCACTGTACAGTTCAGGCTTGCCTTCAACTCACTGTGTAGCACAGGCTGACCTCGAACTCATGGCGATCCTCCTGAGTGCTGGGATTAAAAATGTGCACCACCTCTTCCAGCTTTGAGTCACATTTTTGACATACATACTTTGTCCTCTTTCCCTCCTGCCCTGTTATCTCAAATATCTTACCTCCACGGTTTTCATACATTACGATGAACCATCTCCAAACTGAAAACCTCGCATTCCTCCATTATGTAGAATTTAATGAGACCATGAGACTGTAGTAAATTTCTTTTTCGTTACCCTAAAGAAAAGGAACAAGCCAGGGATGTAGCTCAGCGGCGTAAGTGCTTGCCTGGCAAGCCTGAGGTCATGAGTTCGATTCTCAGTACAAAAAAGAAAAAAGACAAAGAACAAAGCTGGAAATGACTTCTATGTCTCCCTTCACCCAAGTAACTGAAGAACATAGACACCCACACAGAATTTTGAGCCCTGGAACTCAGTGAGTTTTTTCAGGACACAGAAGTTATTCTGCAAAGTAGTAATGTCTCAATCAATGACATTTTGTGTGAGTCAAAAAATAAATAGTATTCAGCAATAAGAGTGAGCATATTATAATTTTTCACTTATCAAGACTGGTATGTAAATATTGGCTTGTTAATAGCTATATGTAAACAATAGGTGAAATATTGACTGTAAGAGAGGTTTTTGGGGGCCAGGGAAATAGCTCAGCAGCACAGTGCCTGCCTGACAAGTACAAGGTCCTGAGGTTAATTCCCAGTATCAAAAAAAGAACTTAATTATTATTATTAATTTTTATTATATTATTAATTTTTTAGACCTGAACTTTAAAAGTGAAAGTGCTGGCTCCACATTTATATTAGCATACTAAAAACAACTAAAAATAAAATGAAAGCAGCTAGCCCAAATCAATTCAGGCTATAAGTGCAAACCTTCAAAAAAATGTTGAGGGCCGGGCATGGTGGCACACGCCTGTAGTCCCAGCATTCAGGAGGCTGAGGCAGGAGGATCGTTGCATGTTTGAGACCAGCCTGGGCTACAAAGTGAGCTCAAGGCCAGCCTGAACTGCATAGCAAGACTCTTGACTCCAAAAGACCAAAAAAAAAAAATTGGAAAATAGTGAATGCATAACATCTCATTAATAATTTTATATTACACATACAACAAGATGTCTCCTAACAGATATTACAAGTTGCTTTCCTATAGGCACAAATACTTGTGAGATTATGACTGGGACCACCACACAAGGGTAAGACTCCCACAAGGAAGCCATCATCTCTAGTTGGTCAGACTTGAATTGTGTCTCTGCAAATGGCATGTTGAAGTAGGAAACCTGGGTTTGGGGAATGTGGTCTCACTTGAAAATAGAGAGCTTACAGATACACTGTTCAGGCCATCACAGCGGACCATGACCCAATGTGACTTGTGTGTCTGCAAAAGGAAACCATCCTGTGATGGTACTGATAGCTACTGGGCAGATCCCACTGTAGGCCACAGATGGCCAAGGATCACGGGCCACCACTGAAAGCCAGGGTCAGTGACTGCCTATATGCAGTCTTTAAATTCAACATGAATCTGGTGAAAACTGGATTTCATACACCTAGATTCCAGTACTGTCTGAGAACATAATTCTGTTGTTCTGAGCTACCCATTTTGTTATACTTTCTTAAAGTCCCCTAAGAAAATAATTCAGATAAAATTAGAAGAGCTCATGGAGCCAACAGCAGAGGCAGAAAACAGGAACATTAATATCTCCCTTCTAGATTGGAGTGCTTTTGGGAAAAAATAGTTGGTATATGTCAATGCCTATGTACGGTTTACCTACAGCAGTAGTATTGGAAAGCATGCATAGGCATGGGAAGGGTAAAATGAAGAAGTAAAAATTGAATTGGAGAGAAAAGGAAGATGAGAAGGAAGTGGAGAGACAGATGTAACAGCTTTTAGAGCACAGTCTTCTATAGGTTTTGTTTTGTTTTGTTTTTTCTGGTACCGGGAATCGAACTCACGACCTTGCACTTGCCAGGCAGGCCCTGTGCCGCTGAGCTAAATCCCCAGGCCCTACCCTCTTCTATAGGTAATCAGAGGAATTTTTGTGATTTTTGTCCTAATATGGGTGAAAATGTTCCCATGGTGATTGGAATAGGATTCATCTGGTGCATTCCTACTGGCCTTTAATAAAAATGGGACATGATCTAATTTATGATGAAACCTAGAAAACTTCTACATGAATGTTTCACTCTCATTTCTGAATTTTGTGTGTCAATTGTTCATTTCACCTATCTAGTAAGAAATCTGTTTTTCTTGCTGCTTTCAGAATATACTTGCTAGGGGAAGTGGACTGCAGTTAGGGTTAGAAGCTCCTTACATTTATGTTCCTTACATTTATGGGTCCAGAGAAAAGGTTCTATAAAGTGGATCAATGCATTCTAATTGAAAAGTGATACTATTCAGAACCTGAGGTGACAGGCATGGTCTTGAATTATTCTGTATCAAACTTAGAAGCTTGAAGCTCGTGATGAGCCTTCTTCTAAGCCCCAGATGGAATTTACAACCAGTTAGAGTTGGGGGAAAATGATAGATGGAGGATAGCAATCAAGGCAGCAATTTAAAATTAAAGTTCACATGAGGAAAAATAGCAAAAAGAAGAAAATCAAGCCAGGCATGGTGGTGCATGGCTGTAATAGTAGCACCTGCCAAGCCTGGGCTAAACAGAGAGGTTAAGGCCAGTGTGGACTAGGTAGAGAAACCTCATCTCTGAAAATCAAAAAAAGAAGTAAAGCAATCAGTCATTGGTAGGAGAACTGACTTCAGTCAGAGAACTAGCAGGCTATTCTCTAGATGAGTTTTCAGGTAGGTCATTTAAGATCTTAAAAAAAGGAAAGAATATATAAGATTTGTAAGTGAAATAACAAGACCCTGCAAGCCTTGTTAGACTTGCGCTAGGTTAATATGCTACATTAAAATTATAAATCATAAAAATTAAAGATGTATTAACTTAAACATACAGTGAGAAGCCCTGAATCAGTAAGGAGCAAAATAATGAGAAAGTTGACAAACCAGAAAGTACTGCAAAAAGTTGACTAAAAACACCAAAGAGACTGGATATGTTCAAAGACACAAAATCCAAATGTAATAAAAGTAATTAATAATAATAATAATAGGATCCGTCATGGCTGACTAGAGGCAGCAGTTCATGTGGCAAGCTGGGAAGATCTGCAGGGAGAAAGGCAGACACCAGAACCAGAAAAGCCAAGGAAAGCCAGGAGGGGTGGGCTGTGTGCGCCACAGAAGGGTACTCAGCGGGCGTAGAACTCAGCTCTGTGCGTCAGTGTGAGGACATCTGTTCTGGCTCTGCTTGCACTTCTTTTAACCTAGATAAACCAACTCCCTGAGCCACAGCTCCCTCCGTAACAGTTCTCGATGCCTAATCATGACCATGCTTTTGTTTTTTACTTTCACAGGGACCAACTTGTGCTAGCTCATCACCGACCTCCAGATCATTCTCTGGCTTGCAGTGCCCTAAGGTGTGAACAGCCGGCTTGCCGGGCCTCCTTTCCAAGTGTGAGGGGTGTAGACCGGTGAGGCGGTCAGGCCACTGCGTCAGTACAGATTCCACCAACCAGGTTTGCTGAACAGGAGATGGGAGGGTTCCAGGACCCAGAGCAGCCCAGCACAACACTGGGGCCTCACATCCCCAATCCTGGACTTGATCTAATGGGCTTCTCCTTCAGGTGGCCTGGCAGGGCTTGAGTTTGTTCACCTCACCTGGCTCAAGTGCCTGAGCTTCCAGGGCACATTTTCTGAGCGTCCCTCTTGCTGCACTGCCTCTGTCCAGCATGATGGCCCAGCTCCTCTTCATGCATTTTCACCGTTTGGTTTTTTATTGTCTATAACCTCTACTTTCATGCCCATTGGGTGAGTGTTATGGTTTGTGTCTGTGTGTCCCCCCAAAGCCTCATGCAGCCCTGAGGCAGGCTTTTAGAGTTTGATTGATTATGGGTGTGAGAGCTGCGCCTGCCCTGGGGTGGATAGTTTTGGATATGTAAGGGAGAGCAAGAGGCCCTTGCGGCCA